CGCCGCATCTCGCCGAGGCACCGGCGCCGCACCGGCGCGTGGAAAGCGGGGCTCCGCACGGAGCCGCATCGCCGATGCATCGGCGGCGCGGCGCGATCCTCCGGCCCCGCCTGCTCGGACACCCCAGCCGGGAGGCCCGGAGACGACCCCCGCGCGCAGCCGCTGCGCCCGCGCGGCGCGCCTCCTCGCGCCACAGCCTGCGGGCCCGGCACGCCCCCGCCGCGCCGGCCCGGCGCGCCGCCTCGGCCGCTCACGCTGCCGCGGCAGGCAGAGGTGCACGCCTGCCGGGCTGCGCCCGACCTCCGGGTGGTGGAGCCCTGTGGGCGACGAGGAGGAGCGGGCCTCCCGCGAGCGGACGGAGTGACCTTGCGCGGTGGCCTGCGCGGCAGGCCACACCGGTCAGAACGAGGCGCTCGCGCGCGACCTTGCGCGGGAGGCTTGCGCGCCGGCGTGGGTGCATACGCCCCCGCTCTTCTGCGTCGCTCACGCGTTGGGCGGCGGGTTGGCCGGGCTGGTGCTTGGCAGATCCCCGCGCGGAGGGGCTCGTGGAGCGGCGGCGCTGCCCCCTCCGGGGCACTGCGCCTCGGAGAGGCTTCGGGGCCCTCGGCGTTGGAGTGCCCTTTCAACTGCAGGCTGCTCCTTCCGATGTCCGCCGTCTCCTGATGAGAGGAAAGCGGTCACTACACACCACTGCTCGCGAGCGGTGGACGTCGGTGCCCATAGAGGCACGCCCTCGCGGTGTAGAGATTCTGGGGCGCGACCCCGTGGATACACGGTCGCGTGGACACGTTCCGCGCGGGGCACCTGCGGCACATGCGCCCCGTGACCCCGGGGTCGCGGCCCATGGGGCCTGACCCACGAGGCCGTGCAACCCGCCCACGAAGCACCAGCAGCAAGCGGCCGAGCACTCCCTGCGCCCTGGATTCGCGACCGACTGGTGCAAAACCATGGCCAGCCTGCGCTGGGAGGGCGCATGCACCAGTCCGGGGGCAAGGATGCGACTGCTCTGGGCAGTAAGGTGGTGAGATTGTCGGGCCCCTCCGAACGCGAGAAACCAAAGCGCACCGCTACTCCCACGTTTGGTGCCCGTTCCATGGGAGCCTGCATGGTCCACGGCGCTGTCCGATTTGGGCGTGACCTGGGCTGGCTTTGGGACACAGGTGGGACCGGATGTGGCCCAGAGTCGGACACGATTCGCCAAGGTGGACGAGAAGATCGAGGAGGGGGATCCCAGACCCCCGACGTCATGATTTTTTCATGACGCGACCCCCAGAGGTCTGGACACATTCCCCGGGACCGGCTTTTCATCCCGAGTCGTTTTTTGACGGTCCTGAGGGCCGGTAAGGATCCCCAGAGGTTGAAAATAGCGAAAAACCTGCCGTCGTGATTTTTTCATGACTCGAGGGGGTCTGGGATAGGGGGAACAGGGGGGGCGAGGAGGAGCAGGAGGGAGGGCCAGACGTGGCCCCAGTGCGGCCCCAAGGCAGAAAGAACGTGTGCGTCAGTGTCGCTGGTCCAGGTTCTGCCGGAGCACGGCCATCGAGCCGCCGGCCCCTCTCTCTCCCGGGGCGAGCTCGAGAGAGAGGACTCCGAGGCGAATCCGCGCCCTCGGCGAAGGCGCGCCCCCCCCCCCCCGGGGAGGCCCAAGAACCCAGACCCCCTCGAGTCGTGAAAAAATCACGACGGGAGGTTTTTCGCTATTTTCGGCCTCCAGGGGCCCTTACCGGCCCTCAGGGCCGTCAAAAAACGACTCGGGATGAGAAGCCGGTCCCGGGGAAGGGGTCCGGACCTCTGGGGGTCGCGTCATGAAAAAATCATGACGTCGGGGGTCTGGGAAGGCGACGCGGGGGGAAGGGAACCGTCGAGCCGCTGGTGCTGCACAGCAGAGGGGCACGCCTGATATTTTGGTCGGGCATGTCCCCCTGCAGGCGGATGTGGGACGAAGAATGAAAATAGTCCCAGCATGCTCCACGCATGCTCAAACATGGTCAAAACATCGTTCCCAGACTATTGGTTGTGTCTTTTGTTGAATCTTTCTCCTGCAGAGGGACAGGCCAGACTGAAGTCGGATATCAAGGATGCGTCCTGAATCCACGTGGGGAGGGGCCTTGCCCAGCAGAGGGTGATGCGCACGGCTCGGAGGCACGTCGAGTGCCAAGGGGATGCCTCGTTGGTTGGCCAGCTCGGGGAGGGTCCTCGCCGAGCCGCGGGTGGTGCACAGCAGAGGGCCCGCGGCTCCCGACGCTGCTCTCCGCGGAGCCCCTGTGCGCTGCCCACGGGAGCCCCGCGAGGCTCTCGCCGGCCCTCCGCGCGCGCCGCTGCCCTGCGCGCGCGGCGCCCGGGCGCCGACGCGCGGAGAGCGCGGCCGCGCGGCAGCCGCGCCCGCGGGCGCCAGTCCTTCGCCCCCAGCAGGCTCCGCTGCCTCGTGGGCGGCACTGCTTCGGCGGGCAGGCCCCCTCCTCCCCAAGTGCCCCCTTCTCAGGAGGCGGTAGGAGAAGCCTGCCCCACCACCCCAACGGCTTCCGAGGGCAGAGGAGGGGGCTCGCTGCGCTCTCGGGGGGTCCCGAACGGGTTGAAGCCCCACCTCTCCCCTCAGAAGTCGTGGGGGTGGGTGGTGGGCTAGGGCTCGCCCGTGACCTCCAGCCTCACCTGCGGTCGGGACCTTCTGCGAGCAGCGTGCCGCGGTGGCGGCCCCCGCGACGCGCCCCATGTTCTGCCAGCCGATCGCGTGTCTCGCTCCGCTCCGCGTGTGGCTGCAGGCCAGGCAGAGCTCGGGAGGAGGAGGAGGAGGAGGAGGAGGAGGAGGAGGAGGAGGAGGAGGAGGAGGAGGAGGAGGAGGAGGAGGAGGAGGAGGAGGAGGGGGAGGGGGAGGAGGAGGAGGAGGAGGAGGAGGAGGAGGAGGAGGAGGAGGAGGAGGAGGAGGAGGAGGAGGGGGAGGAGGAGGAGGAGGCCGGGGTCGCGGTCAGCGTGCCGACCCAGAGCGTGGTGGGCCCGAGCCCGCGGCGCGACGCGCTGGGCTGCGGTCCCCGACCGTGTGCCCCCCGTGCTCGTCGACCTCGCTGCTGTGACCCTCCACCCTCCCTCCTCCTCGCCCCATCCCAGCTCGCCTACTGGGTCCTCCTGCCCGAGCTCCTCACCCCTCCTTCCAGAGTCAGGCTGCCGGCGATGCTGCGCCAGGGTGATGTGGGGAGCCGCGGTGCAGGACATCACGAACCACACGTTCCTGCCTTTCCAGTCTGAGGATGCATCGGGCGAGCACGACATAGCGAATTGCAGGAAAGCGCGAGCCACGCGTTCCCACGCTGCCGAAACCTACATCGCCTGCATCGCCGTAAGCCCGCCTACGGCTACCCCGCCCCACGCCCCTGCGCAGGTCGTCCGTTCACCTCACAGCTGCCCCGTGGCCCGCCCCTCCACTCCGCCCTTGCCACCCGCCCGCCTCGTTGCCACTCTGCACCTCCCTCCCCCCCTCTTCTTCGAGAGCAGCAGATCCACCCTCCTTCGGCGGTGGACAAACCTCCCTTTAGTAAACCTCCCTTTAGTGAAAACAACTTAGGACCGAAACTGACGGACCTAGACCCGCAAAATGACGGCCGCGACGCCCTCTCGCGAACCGAGAACGGCCCATTCACTGATCGACGTGTCAGGGTCAGGAGGTCTCTCCACCTCCGACCCTCTTCTTCGAGAGCAGCAGACCAACCCTACGACAGGAACCACCCCGACACGCGCAGGAGGAGGAGGAGGAGGAGGAGGAGGAGGAGGAGGAGGAGGAGGAGGAGGAGGAGGAGGAAAGAGGAGGAGGAGGAGGAGGAGGAGGAGGAGGAGGAGGAGGAGGAGGAGGAGGAGGAGGAGGAGGAGGAGGAGGAGGAGGAGGACAGGGAGGAGGAGGAGGAGGAGGAGGAGGAGGAGGAGGGAGGAGGAGGAGGAGGAGGAGGAGGGCAGCCGCTGCGCCAAACGCACCCCGGGCAGGACTCGGCCGGCGGCGGGCCTGCTCCGTGAGAGAACGCCCCGGGCCGTGCGGGCAGAGGCTGGCCGCCCTCCTCTGCTCTGGGCCAGGCCGCCGCAGGGGGCTCGCGCCCCTGTCCCGGCTCTGCTCGTGCCCCTCCTCCTCCTCCTCGTCCTCCCCCATCCTCCTCCTCCTCCTCCTCCTCCTCCTCCTCCTCTCCTCTCCTCCCCCTCCTCCTCCTCCTCCTCCTCCTCCTCCTCCTCCTCCCAGGCCGCCGCAGGGGCTCGCGCCCCTGTCCCGGCTCTGCTCGTGCCCCTGGCCGCCCCCCCCGGTCGGGCGTTGGTACAGCTGGCTTCCCAGACCCCCTCGAGTCATGAAAAAATCACGACGCGAGGTTTTTCGCCATCTTCGGCCTCCGACCCCCTCGAGTCATGAAAAAATCACGACGCGAGGCTTTTCGCCATCTTCGGCCTCCGGGGGCCCTTACCGGCCCTCAGGGCCGTCAAACAACGACTCGGGATGAAAAGCCGGTCCCGGGGAATGGGTCCGGACCTCTGGGGGTCGCGTCATGAAAAAATCATGACGTCGGGGGTCTGGGCCCCCGGTCGGGCGTTGGTACAGCTGGCTTTAGTGGAACCTGGTTGAGTGATCTGTACCGGGGGCGCCCCCCCGTCCCAGTTCCACTCCTCGGAACTGCCGTCACCCGAAAAAAACACCAGCTACGGCAACCCTGGTTCAGTGAATCTGGCCAATTCAGGGGGGGCGTCAGACCCGGGCGCAGGGGACCCGGAAATCCCCGACGAGGTCGTCAAAAACATGACGAGGCCGAGCCTGCATTCTGACGAGGCCTCCCGCTGCAGACATCCCACGACACTCCTGCTCGTCAAAATCCGAATCGCGGCCGTCAAAAAACGAGGGCGAGCCCGAGTCCTGGCAAACCCGGGTCTTACGCTCCCCCGACTGATGAGCCTGTTTTCCACCACCACCACCACCATAAGTTGGAGGGGGGACGAAGGAGGAGGAGGAGGAGGAGGAGGAGGAGGAGGAGGAGGAGGACGAGGAGAAGGAGGAGGAAGACCCCCTCCCCCTCCAACTTGAGGTGGTGGTGGTGGAAAACACGCCCATCACCGACAATTGAAGGGCCCCAGGGCCCTACCACTGACCGGGCCCCCTCACCCGGGGGCTCCCGGCCACACCCGACCCGGGCCCCGCCCGCCGCGCCGCTCGCCTCCCCGCCCATGAGATATCCCTCCCCGCGCCCGCCGCTCCCCGCTCTTCGCCCGCCCCGCACCGCCTCCCCCCCGAAGGCTGGGCGAGGGCTGCCCAAACCGCGGCTGCTACAACGGCCCCCCCGGAAGGAAAAAGCAGCTTCCCGGAGCGAGGCACGGCACGCGCAACAGTCAGCGGGCTTCGGCTTCTTCCCGGAAGGACGAAGACAGCTTAGGCCGAAGCCAGCTGCCCGGAGGTCGATTTCAGCAGCCACGGACTCAGCAGCCCTTGCCCGGCTGCCGATCCCCCCCCGCCTCCGCGCCCCTCCCGCCACTCCTGCAGGCCTACCACGGCATGCTCCCAGAGCTCCGGGCGTGCCCGAAGAGCAAGAGCAATGCTCCTTATAGAGCGCAGGCCCGATGTGTCAGAGCAGGACAGCCCCAGCCACACATGCTCTGAGAGCACGTCGTGCAAACCAGAAGAGGCTCTTCGAACAGTCTCTGGTGGGCCTATATAGGCGAGCCAGGACGCCTCGCCGCGGCTTGACGCTTACTCCTCGCGCTCCGCCCGCTCCTCCTCATGGCCGGCCGCCGGCTCTCCCGAATGGGCGCTGCCACGAGCCCGCGCTGCATCCGTGTGGGTTGGCCAAGACGGCCGCGCAGGCATAGGGCCCGCCCACCACGCACACCGTCCGCGCACCATGCCCACTGCCGTCCTCGCACAGGAGGGCCCCCGGCCGAGCTGCCCCCGAGCCTCGACCGAGCACCCTGCGCGGGACCGCTCCTTCCTCTGCTCCTCCTCGCTGCCGCGGCTTGGTCTCCTCTTCTACGGGCCAAGGCGCCGTAGGTGGGGTAACCAAACGATGCCGGTGCCGGTACCCCCCGGACCTCCCGCGGGGTGCGTTCTGAACAGAAGTTCGAGGCGGATCCAGGCGTGGTGACGATGGCCTCCCAGCAGGCCCAAAAAGGCGAAACCGAGGCAAGGGTAGCGGTATCAGTACATTGTCCCCCTCTGAGCAGGGGCTCGCATCCTTCCCCGAGCTCAGATCGTGCCCCTCCCTCCCGAGCCTTGTGTGTTGCGCCACTCTGCGCCTCACTGCGACATGTCCCCGCAGCACGGGTGGCGCACCAGCGACGGGTGCACGCACGAGTCGGTGGGGCTGTGCAGCGCGGCCGCGCTGACCCCCCGCAGGCAGAAGACGGGCCGCCCTGAGCCGCGTGCCGCAGCGTGGAAGGAGAGGAAGTACGGAAGCCGCGCTCGCGGCACCAGCTCCCACCGCACGCCCTTCTTGTGGCGGCGCGCACGACGTCTGCATGCTCGTTCAGGGGGCCTTCCTGGAATCTCTCACTCCGCTTGTGCGTCGATGCTTCGTGCGAACGTCCGTCGTCTTGACCCGAACTTGAATCGACCTTGAGTTGAACAGATCCGTCAGGTGGGCTCCAAGAAGCTCCCCCAAACGAGCATCGTAACGACGGGGGTGGGGCGGAGGGGGGCGGTCTTCTTTACAATGACAAAGCGGATCCCGAGAGAAACTGGTCCTGGGCCCTGGGGCGGTTCCCAAGGACCAGTTCTTCGCCATGGGTCGTCCTCTGACGCTTCCTGGGCCCGCGAGGGCGCCTGCCTGCAGGGAGGCCAAGAGCGACGGGAAACCTCCGGACCCCGCTTCCCCCAGGACCCGAGGGGGAACGCCAAGGGGGGGGGGACTGGCCGAGGGGGAGAAGCATCGAGCCAACATCAACGAGGCATCGGCGACAGATCGGCGATGGGCGGACTGCCGGGCCCGTGACATTGCCTAGTTCCCCCCCTCAGCCTACCCCCCTCCTGAGCCTACCCTGAAGTCGGGCCTGTCCCCCTACAGGCCGATCTTGGAGGAAAAATGAAACATACCCCGAAAAATGCACTAAACATGCTCACAAATGGTCAAAACATAGTCCCCAGACTATTTGTTTTACAATCTTTTCATATTTTCCCCCTGTAGAAGGACAGGCCCGACCTGAGCCTACCCCCCCCCTTGAGCCCAGGCCCCCCCTGGTAGTTGCCCCTTGGACTTCGGGCGCCATCGCTCGGTTCATCGGGGCGGCCGTGCGGCACGAGCTGGGCACTCCTGGCACGCTCGGGGGGCAGGCGCAGCTGCGGGCACGCATCCCATCGAAAACTTGCGAACACTTCCCTCAGCCTCCCCCCTCAGCCTCCCCCCCTCCTCAGCCTAGTTACCCCCCCCAGCCCCCTCAGCCTACCCCCCTCCTGAGCCTACCTAGTTACCCCCCTCAGCCCAGTTACCCCCCTCAGCCTACCCCCCCCCCAGCCTAGTTACCCCCCTCAGCCTACCCCCCTCCTGGGCCTACCCCCCTCCCCCCTTCAGCCCAGGTCCCCCCTGGCAGTTTCCCCGTTGATTTCGGGCGCCATCGCTAGGTTCTCCGGGGAGTCTCGAACCTCTGATCATTGAGCAGGGACCGACCGTCCCGGCATTCCTATAGTCCTACCGCGAAATATTCTCAGAACCCAAAAATGTTCTAATATTAAAAACAACGTTCTTAAAACATAAACCCGATGTGATGAAACAAGACAGACTCTGACAGAATTGTTCTAGGCACGTTTCGTGGAAACCACAAAAGGTTCTTAGAACATTGTTCGGTAGGGCTATAGGCGAGCCAGGACACTTCGCCACTGCTTGAGATCAGGGGTCAAAAGCCGACTCCTTGACCTGTCCTGGGGCGCGTTCCGACCGGCATTTCCAAGCGGATCCAGCCGTGGCCACCAGGGCGCCCCAGGACGATCAAACACCTTGAGGAAGCGAACCTCGGCCCTCGAACCTCGAAGCGCCGAGAACAAATCAACACGTCGACCTGACCACGGCGACCTCTCTCGAAGGGCACACAGCTTGGGCCCGCCGCCGCGCGCGGCCATCCACCACGCAGTGCGTTCGCCGCACCGCTCGCGGATCCCCAGGAAGCCCTCCTGGAAGCGCCGTCGCCCTTCTGCACAGGAGGCGCCTGGCCTCCCTGGCACCGGGCCGCCCTCCCTGCCCCACCCGCGCCCCCCCTGCGCGCCGCCGACCTTCAGCCGCGCCAGCACCAGCCAGAAGTGCTCTACGCTCAGGACCTCGTCCAGCAGGGGGCTGGGGTTGCCGAAGTACTCGCCGTAGACGCCGAGCAGGCGCCCCGCCGCCTCCCCTCCGAGCACGAGGACGTGGTCGCTGGGCATGTCGGGGACGGAGGCCACGGGATCCCTGCGGCTACAGAGGAAGCCGAAGGGCTGCGAGTAGACGGCGGACGGGTCGGGGAAGTCGGCCAGCCGCACGTCGTCGACAAAGTGCGTGTCGTCGCGCACGAGGACCACGTGACTGTACTCCCCTGCGGCCCTGGTGACGTTCCACAGGGCCTCGACCTTCCTCAACCGCAGCAGGTAGCTCAGGAAGGCCGGGTGGGCCTTCGTGTCCCTCCCGAGGTAGCGCCGCCACGAGGGCTCCAGAGGATCCAGCCCAGGACCGGGGTCCACAATGTGCACCTGGACCCGGCGCGCGCCCAGGCGCCGCGCGTGCCGGAGCACGTAGTCCTGCTCGGCGCAGAGGCCGACAAAAATCGGCCCCTGGCCTGGACCCCTCTCTCCTCGGAGTCCAAACGCACAGGTTTCTCGAGCTGCGTCCAGCCGTGGCGACGAGGGAGCCCCCCGAAGGCCAACTACCGTTCTCTCAACTCGCTCTCCCAAAAGGTAGCGATACCGCTGCTCCCTGGACCTCTCCTGCGTGCGTTCCGACCAGAGCATCACGGCGAATCCAGCCGTGGCGGAGAGGGCCTTAAGGGAGGCCCCACCAAGGCGAGGACGAGGCAAGAGCAGCGCTATCAATGCCCTTTCCTCCTCCGAGGTCGTGGGTGCCTTCTTATCCGAATCTCAAGGCGCATGCAGCCGTGGCGACGAGGGCCTCCCAGGAAGCCCAAAAAGAGCGAACACGAGGCAAGTGTAGCAGTCTCGATACCCCCATGCATCCTCCGACGTGATTCGTTCCATGCGCCACCCAAGGAGGAGGAGGAGGAGGAGGAGGAGGAGGAGGAGGAGGAGGAGGAGGAGGAGGAGGAGGAGGAGGAGGAGGAGGAGGAGGAGGAGGAGGAGGAGGAGGAGGATGAGGAGGAGGAGAGGGAGGAGGAGGAGGAGGAGGAGGAGGAGGAGGAGGAGGAGGAGGAGGAGGAGGAGGAGGAGGAGGGAGGAGGAGGAGGAGGAGGAGGAGGGAGGAGGTGGAGGAGGAGGAGGAGGAGGAGGAGGAGGAGGAGGAGGAGGAGGAGGAGGAGGAGGAGGAGGAGGAGAGGGAGGAGGTCCGATCCATATTCGAGGGCCCCAGGGCCCGAGCGCGGGCCCCAGATGCCGAGGTCGAGGATAAGCCCGCGCCGGGGAAGAGGCCTCCTCCTGCCGAGTCCTGCAGGGCGCGGGGCGTGGCGTTGGCGAAGGTCGGGTTCGGGCTGCCCTGGGCGGCCATGCTCCACAGCCTCTGGCTTGCCCTGCCGGGCCCCCCCCCCCCCAGCCCCCCACGGGCTCCGCACGAGTGCTTTTCCGCGCGCCGGGATGCCCCCCCCTCCCCCCCCCACACACACACTGGGAGCGGAGGGGCAACCTGGGGCCTTCGGGCTGGGCCTGGGTGGCTTGGCCAGCAGCGAGCCTGCGCCCTGGCGGCCGCGGCCGCCAGCTCAGCATGGCGTAGTAGTCCACCTCCCGGCCCTGGCGGGCAGCAGGCGCCACCACGTGCCGCAGCGTCGTGAGGGGACCGGTCGGCGGCTCAGAGGCCCCGAAGCTCCGGCGCTGTGCGCTCTGTTGTTCCAGGGACGGTGTTCCCCTCCCGGCGGCGAGCGAAGGGGGGGGTGGAGTGAGGAGGCGCGGGCCTCCTCAGAAGGCTCGGAAGTCCCCCGGCCTTGTGAGAAGTGCTCTGAGCCCCTTCCCCTACAGTCGAGGCGTTGACCTGAGGAACCCTGAATAAGGAACGAGGCCCCATTTTTCCCGTCAGTTATAGTTTGATCTCCCATCGAAAACCTACGGAAAACCTAAGGCAAGCTGTGAAACAATCAAGGAACCCGGAGCCCCTCCCCAACGAAAAGGGTTCCTTCTTCAGCGCCCCAGCTGTAAGACGAAGGAGACCTCTCAGAAGGCGCGAGGGCTTCTGAGAAGTCCCGCCGCCTGCTGAGAAGGCCACCCCCTCCTCGCCTCCCCCCCTCCCGCTCGCCGCCGATCCTCGAGCTCGGCCCACGCGGCCCCGGTGTCGGGCCCCGCGGCCACCGGGGGAAGAGATCCGGGGCGAGAAACTGCAGCGGAGGCCCGACCACACGAGACCTCCCACAGTAAACCCAGACCTGAGACCTGCTGGGGTTTCCATTGACTCCTGGTCTGGGAGCGTCACGCTGTCCGGAGCAAAGCCATCGAAGCCCAAGGAACCCAAGGGACCCTGGAGGCAAGCAGGGGGTTTCTTGGCCTGGGTTTCCAGTGTGCCCCAAGGGAAGAAGTCGGCACTGCTGGGCCCGCGCAGCTGCAGCACAAGAGCAAATCGGCGGATGTCGGGGGATGGGGCCCCGTGTTATTTTGGCGCTCTGTCTTGGCCGATTCTGGAACGGCCGCGCTGGAGCCATCGCCGAACTGGCAACCGGCACGAGCTTCCCTGACATCCTATGGTCTTGTGATTTATGAAACCACCTGTATGTCTTGTTTTTTTCTCGCTGGTCTTGATTTCTGGGTTATGCATTGTTGTTGTTGTTGTTGTTGTTGAACTCTCATTCTTGAAGAATAATCATTGTTGATCCCCCCCCACCGGTGCACATTGATATTTTTCGATTGAAGTGCCACCCCCGGGGCTCGCACCTTGTTTTTCTCAAGGAAAGTCTTCCTGCTCAAACTGTGCCCCTGCCCCCCGGGCTACAACAACAACGGCTCCCGCCTGAGACTTCCTCGATTTTTACTCAGGACCCCCGCTCCCGCCTGAGACTTCCGCGCAATTTACTCAGGAAAGGCGCTCCCGTCTGAGACTTCCTCGCAATGTAATCAAGACCCCCGCTCCCGCCTGAGACTTCCGTGCAATTTACGTGGGAACGGCGCTCCCGCCTGAGACTTCTTCGAATTTTACTCAGGACCCCCGCTCCTGCCTAACATTTCCACGCAATTGACTCAGGAACGGCGCTCCCGCCTGAGACTTCCTCGCAATTTAGTGAGGACCCCCGCTCCCGCCTGAGACTTCCGTGCAATTTGCTCAGGAACGGCGTTCCCGCTTGAGACTTCCTCGCAACTTAGTCAGGGCCCCCGCTTCCGCCTGAGATTTCCTCACAATGTACTCAGGACTGCGCTCTCGCGTGCGACGTCCTCACAAATTATTCTGGAATTGCGTTTCGGCGCTCAGGAACCACGCACGCGCCAAGGACGCCTTCACAACGTGGTATCTTCCCTCTTCCTTCGTCCTTCCCCCTCCCCTTCCTCCCACTCTCCCTCGTTCTTCCCCTCCTCCTCTTGCAGGGCCCGCGCCAATTCCAATGGCGGGCAGAGAGATGTACGCCCCCGAAGGATTGTCCGCCCGTTCCGGTTTGCCCGTACGTCTAAGCCCGCCGGCCCCAGCAAAGAGAAATAATCCCCCCGAAAGGGGTGTGATCGAAGACGAAGAGGGCGGGTATCGAGGGTGTAGGGTATACGTGTTGAGTGACTCGCGGGCAAGTAAGAGCGTACAGCCTTAAAATGGTTGTTGTTGTTGTTGTTGTTGTTGTCGTTGTTGTTGTTGGTGTTGTTGTTGTTGTTGTTGTTGTTGTTGTTGTTGTTGTTGTTGTTGTTGTTGTTGTTGTTGTTGTTGTTGTGCATGTCTTGCTTTTCTGTAAGATGTCTTGCTATTGTTGTAAGATGCCTTGTTTTGTTTGTAAGATGTCCCTGGGATAAGGAGTCCCAGGTTGGACCTGCACTGCCCGAGGCACCTCGTCCTTGGGGCCCCGTCCCTCAGGACCCCGCCTCTGGGGGGGGGCACGACACCCAAAATGACGCGCCGCCGTGGAGATGTCATCACCGCGCTACGGATGAGGAAGCATCAGGCCTTCGGACACACACACACACAAGGAAAACAAAAGCGGCAGCGAGCTCCTAATGGCGGCGTGCGATCGATGCTCTTGTTCCCTCTCGAGCCTTTGAACCACCGACACCACATGAAGAGACCACAAGAAACATATACCGCTACCCCCCAGACCTCCCCCCGGGGTGCGATCTGCCAAGAACTTCGAGGCGACACCAAACGTGGCGACGAGGGCCTCCGAGGAGATCCAAACGGGCACAGACGAGGCCAAGGGCAGCGGCATCGATGCCCTTGCCTCCCTCCGAGATAGTACCGCTGCCTCACCCCGACCGCGAGCACCGCCACGCGGCCAGGCGCCACGCCGCGCGCAGGCCCCGCGTGCCCGGCGTGGCGGGGGCCCGAGGTACACACCACGCCGCCTGGTCGGCCAAGCAGCTCGGTGCGTAGACGCCCCTGCTGCCCAACCTGTGGGGCGCTGGAGCGTCTACGCTTTCTTACCGCGAAAGGTCGGCGGCGAGCGAGGGGGGAAGTGAGAAGCAAAAGAGGCCCTCCGAGAAGGCGGCCGCGCTCCTCACGAGGCCTCCGGCCTGCTGAGAGGCCTCCTGCGCCTCCGGAAAAGTTCCGAGCGCTCTGACAAAGCCCGCCCCCCCTCTGAGGACACCAAGTACCGAGACCGCTACTCCCCGCACCTCTCCTTTGGTGCGTTCTGACTAAGATTTCGAGGCAAATCCAGCGGCAGCGACGAGGGCCTCCCAGGAGGCCCAAGATGGGCGAAGGGTGGCGGTATGGGTCACCTTGTCCTCCTCTGAACCCCTTCGATCCTTGAAGGCAAGGCCGTTTCTGGAACGCCTCGCTTCTGGCGCCGAGCGTCTCGGCTGCCTGGCCGACCGCGCGGCGTGATGCACACGTCGAGGCCCCCCCGAGGGCCCGGCGGGCGGCAGCGCGCAGCGCGCGGCGACCTCCACGGTGCAGAAGCGCCGCAGCTGCCCCTGCTCGGTGGCCGCGGCGGCTGCGCCGCCGCCCTCGCCGCCGTCGCCTGGGGCGCAGAAGCACGCACTACGACGAAGCCAGGACGAGGATAAAATCGGGTGAGGAGAGATCGAGAATCTGTGAAATCTGGCACCTCTGGAGGTGTCTCGGGCGACCCACGGCCTTTCCATAGAGCGTTCCGGACCGCTCTGGGAGCGTTCCAGCCAGGCTCCCGACGTCGTGATGTTGTCCACGACGTGCCCACAGCAGCCTGGACCCCTTCCACAGCGTTCTGCTGACGGTCCCGAGGCCCGTGAGGGGCCCCGGGAGGCTAAACTTAGCGAGCCACCTCCCGTCGTGGTTTTTCTCCCGGCGCGAAGGGCCCTGGGCAGAACGTTCTGGAATGGGGGTATATCCTCGTCCTAGCCCCGCCAGGACGTACCCAACAAACGCCGAGGAGGAACAGGTCTCGGCCGCGACCCGTCCCCTGTCGTCGCGTTTCTGCTTTTGTTCTGGGGAGGCCCTCGTGGCCACGGCCGGACGCGCGCCTCGAAATCCTGGTCAGCTGAGCTCGCTCGGGGAGAAGTCTATACGGGGAGCAGCGGCATCGGTGCGCAGCTCCCCGCAGCTGCGGGTAAGAGGTGGGGGGACGGGCGAGGGGTGGGTCGCGGGTGAGGGTGCATCTTCCTTGCCCGCCACGTGCAGTTGGCGCCGGCCCCTAAAAAGCAAAGGAGCAGAGGGGGCAGACGGAAGGAAGGGACACAGGTAGGCGGCGAGCCAGGGGGGGAAGTGAGAAGGGGCGGGCCTTCTCAAAAGGCTCGCGGAAGTCCCCCAGACTTCTGAGAAGTTTTCTGAGCCTTCCCCGAAGACACCAAAAACTTCTCAGAAGCCGCAAGGACTTCTGATGAAGTCCTACCGCCTTCTGAGAAGCCCTTCTCCTTCTCACTTCCCCCCCTCGCTTGCCGCCGAACAGGGGGACGGGAACGGGGTGGAGCACGAGACGAACCAGCGGGGCGGGGTTGAACAAAAAGGTTCCACGCGCGCGCGCCCAAGGGGCCACGTCGAGCGGGCGGCTCGCTGAAAAGCGCCCGTCCTGCACGGGCGAGAGCGTAATCCCACCAGCCCTCTGGGCGTCGGTGGTTTAACGAGTTTCCTCTTCCACCCCTCCCTCTTCCCCTTCGGGGAGGGGTTTACCCCTCCCCCTACCCCCTCCCCACTGACCTGGACAGGAGGGGCGGGGAGCGGTCAGAGCGTCCAAAACGGCCTCGGCGAGGAAGCCAAAATCATTGATTTTACTATGGTTTGGGCCCCATTTTGGCCTTCTCAGGGGGCAACGCTAATTAAGGCTCCCCTCTTCTTTGATCGATTTCCTCCACGATGGCCGCAAGAGGCCCCCAGGATGCCCCAAAAGGCCGCAGGATGGCCCCAAGAGGCCCCCCAAGAGGCCCCCAGGAGACCCCCAAGAGACCCCCAAGAGGCCCCAAGAGACCCCCCAGAGGCACCCAAGGTGCTCCCAGAGGCCCCAAGATGGCCCCAAAAGGCCCCAAGAGGCCCCCAGGAGGCCCCAAAGAGGACCCCGAACGGCCCACAGAGGCCCCCCCGAGGCACCCAAGACGCCGAAAGGCCCCTCAGGACGACCCTCTACTCGCGTGGGCGTCGTTTCTGGACGGGCTGGTGGGGATACGCGAAGCGTTTAGAATTCCTGAATGTCTTCGGCGGGGCGTAAGCGTATGATTGACTTGCGAACAAAAAATCAAAAAAAATAAAAAATAAAAAACGACCCCTTTTTGAAACTATATGGACGTCCCCCTCGCGAAGGCGCGATTTAGAACCAGTTGCGAACGAATCAGGGGGA